GCCCGGATGCGGCTCCCCCGGCCCGGAGACGCGGCGGAGCAGGCAGTGCGGAGGCGCCCGCGCCGCTGCTGCTGTCGGGGGAGGGGGCGGCGCCGGCGGGAGGGGAGGGGAGGGGAGGGGACGGGAGAGGAGGGGAGGACGCGCGGGGGCAGCAGGCGGCAGCCGCGGGGCCCTGCTGCTGCTGCTGCTGCGGGGGGAGGGAGGGGAGAAGGATCCCCTGAGCCGCCGCCCAGGGGACGGGCCTCGTCGGCGCCCGGGAGCGGGGTGCGGGCAGGGCGGGGGCGCTGCGGTGTGTCAGTGTGTGCGCGAGGGCGCTGCAGCGGGTGTGTGTCAGCGCTGGGGGTGGGTGAGCACACTACAGTGTCAGCACTGGGGGGTGAGTGTGCTTCAGTGTCATTGTGTGTCAGTACTGGGGTGCGTGCGTGTGCGTGTCAGCACTGGGGAGGTGAGTGCACTGCAGTGTCAGGGTGTGTGTGTGAGTGCACCGCAGCATGTGTGTGTCAGCACTGGGGGGGTGAGCACGCTACAGTGTGAGTGTGCCTCAGTGTGTGTCAGCAGTGTGTGCGTGCGCATGTCAGCACTGGGTGGGTTTGTGCATCACCACTCGGTGTGTGTGTGAGTGTGAGCACTGGGGAGGGGATGAGCGCACTGCACTGTGTCCAGTGCATATGTGTGTGTGTATCAGCATGGGGGCTGTGTGTGTGTCAACACTGGGGAGTGTGCATGCATGTGTATGTGTGTATGTCTGTGTATGGCAGCAGTGGGGTGTACGTGTGTGTATGCATATGTGTGTGTGTGGCACACTACACTGCTTATGTACACACACATAACTACAGTGTGCATGCGCACACTCCGGTGCTGGAAGCTGGCCCTGCCGTGCCCATGGTAGGCAGCTGTTTGAAAGCAGGGGAGTTGGAGGACATTTGTCTATGCCTGCAAGCAGGCTGATTCCTTCATCAGGTAATGCCTTGAGAGGAATTGTATGGAGTGTGTGTCAGCACTGCAGTGTGTGTGTGTATGTGAGCACTGTAGTGCATGTTTGTATGTGTGCATTGTAGTGTGTGTTTGTGTGTCAGTGCCATAGTCCATACAACCCCTCTCAAGGCATTACTTGATGAAGGAATCAGCCTGCTCACAGGCATAGACAGACGCCCTCCAGCCCCCACTGCTTTTGAACAGGTGCCTACCATGGGGCAGGGAAGGCTAGACTCTTGCAAGTGTTTCGGGGGCTCTATGCTAAGCAGCTTCCTTAAATGCTAGGCGCTGTGCGTCAGTGACTGCCTGCGGGTAACTGCCTCTGGCCACAGCTCCCTGGAGTTCTGGAGGCACCCTGCTCCTTTAGTCCCTCCCTGTTTCCTTTTTTCTCCTCCTACTCACTGAAATAACTGGGATTTTCCAGGGGATGCTGCTTGTACCCATCCAGCAGGTTACAGTCAGGTGACCTAACCATCCCCACATCTCAAGCTGCATAGTGTAAGATACAGATTTTTTCTGGGTAGTAATAACAGAAGAACCATGCTCATGCAATCCATTCTGATTTACCGGACATTTTAAGGGCCTGCCTTTTGCATTTCAACTGTAAACAGAATTCACCAGCATCATATATATATATATTCACCAGCATATATATGTGTGTGTATATATATACAAAATGAAGTTTATTTGCTACCTATGGAGACTTTTACTATCTTTAATTTTCCCTCAGCCTGAAGGAGGGTGCATGTGCCGGAAAGCTTGCAAAGAAAGATAATTTTTTTGCAATTTCTTAGTTGGTCTAATAAAAGATCTCATCTCTGAACCAAGAGTTCTAGAGTTTTGCATTTCTACACACACACACATAGATGCATATATGTGTGTGTGTGTGTGTGTATTCAGCATATGTGTGTGTGTGTGTGTATGTCTCAATCACTGTATTATTAAAGGCCTGGCCCTGCCCCAGTAAAGTCAGTGAGAGATTTTACCTTTAGAGGAAGGAGGATCATAGGATCATAAGAAAGTAGGGCTGGAAGCGACCTCACAAGGTCACCTAGTCCAGCTCCCTGCGCAGGGCAAGTAGGTGGTGCAGCCATCCAGAGGCTCTGGTTAACTTGAAAATCATTTAGAATCGAACCAAGGAAACAAAAAAAAAAACCTGACCAAAGTTCCTTTCCTGTCTTACAAACAACACCTTGATGATCAAACTATAAGATCTATACCTGTAGGTCTATACTTAAGATCTATAAAGATCTATGCTTATAAAGATCTATATTCAAGCTATAAGATCTATACTTATAGATCTATGCCTATAGATCTTATATCTATATTGATCAAACTATAAGATCTGTACTATATCTTATAGGAAACTATAAGATGATCAAACCTCCCATTCGCTTTTGCAGTATGCCTGCTGTTTGTTTACGCTCTCTGGATGTCTTGAAGCGGGAGCAAGAAGAATCTGTTTCACATTTTAAAATTATTTTCACTTGTAGGCTCTCAGGCAGTAGTACAATACTGCAATGTTTGGCATGCAGACCCGGTGAGGGAATGTTTGTTTAATTTTTTTTAAAGTCGTTTCTACTGGAATTTGAATAACAACTATTCAGTTTCTAGAAACGATATTAACAGCTAGCTTGAGTATAGCAATGTGCCCTGAACAGATTTATGGTATCAGATTTAGAGAAAAAGCTTATACTGAGGAGGCCAGATCCTGCCATGAGAGATCTGGACTCTGTGTGTCACTGTCCATCTAGGGCCTGACCCTGTGAGTCTTTCTTCAGGCAAAATGCCCAGGAAGACACTGAGTGTTTTGTTGTCTGAATAAGAACTGAGCTCTGACAGCATGGCTGAACTTGAACCTCAGCACAGGTTTTCTGTATCTGTTTTGAGTGACCAACAACTCTAATCCCAGCTGCAAACCATACCACATAGCTATTCTGTGATCAGGGTAGTTTTGCCCTGTATCATTGTGGCCCCACAGCACACCAAAGTTTCAAAAGAAGTGTCCTACCTTGCACCCCAGCGCCCCATGGTGCAGTGTTCTGTCACGCTGCTGTTAATATACTCAGATTTTTCACACCGCGCACAGCCGGACACCTACCAGAAGGTAGGGGAGTTCTGGTGCTTGGGGTCAGACCAAGTAATCCCAGATTCCTCTCATATCATCTTATCATCCATCTGTTCCTATGATGCTGTCGCTCTGTTTACCAGCCAACCACTGGCATTTTCAAAGTGCTGTCAGGCATCACAGAGGAAACCCTGGCAAGTGCTGTCATCCTCCTGGCAACGATCCTAAATGGGCTGCAAGTGTATCTCACATGCCATACCATGACTTCAGAATGAGCATCTGAGAAAGACAAATAGGCTGACATCCAGCAGACCCTTCTCCAACATCTTTTCTTGGAACAGATTCACTCATGGGAGCACAGTTCTTAGTCACTGTTAGCTAGCACTATATTCTGACAGGGCTGGACACTTAGAAATCAAGCCTGCACCAAACTTGCTGTGGAGCTGGTATGGCATACCAGCTCTATAGGAGGCCTTCAGAACATGGAGAAGCATGTAGCCATCGCTCTCTGGAAATTCACTGTCCCTGGTTGCCACTAGGCAGTTGCTCACCAATTCGGCACTGGTAGATCCTAGCTATTGTAACAAGTATGTAGTGCTATACTCCCAAGAAAGCGCTGTTGCCCTGGGTCATAAGACCGAGCAGTGTACTTCTAGTTATTAACTGGGTTTTCATGATTGCATCATTAGGTTTCTCTAATTGCATTAGACAGGGCAGCTAATAAGACCAGACTATGGATCACTGATCATCAAAAGAAAAAGTACTTCTTCATGAGGCTGTAAGGCCTGGTTGATCACTGTAGAAAGATCTTCAGCACTTAAACATAGGTTAATTTGGAAAAGCCCAGGAAGCCAGGATTTTTAGAAGGTCTGCAGTGACAAATAGAGCTCTTGTACCCCTGTCTCTCTGGATATGGATCATGTTGCTGTTCCTCTGCTCAGCCTGCTTACCTCTTCAGCAAATTACTGTAACAGACGCTTGTCACAGGGGTGGCCACTCTGTCCCTGCTTCACCCTTACTCCTCAGGCTTGCTCCTCTTCATCTCACCTACCACGCCTTGTTGTTCTTAGCTCTCTAGAAAGGGAGGCTGCCCCAGGAACCCCAGATCTCATGTGGGCATTCAGATGTCTCTACTTCGCATTAAGGGCTTATAACATGGTTCCAGCTGCCTCTTACCCCAAGCCCATGCCTCGCAGATGCTGTCAGTCATATTGATTATCAGCCTTCTTGGGCCATGGCCTCAGTCCCTATGACTGGGTCTCTCTGCCCAGACACTTAGCCTAGCTTGGCTACTCTCAAGTGTAGCTTCCAGGCTTGGCCTCTTGTGGGCACTTCACCTTTTACAGCTGTGCAGCACCCTGCCTGTACTCTCCACCCAGGTACTTTGCCATTGCGGACTATTC